CTGTGTAACCAGACCTGTCCTCCCGACAGCTCCCCCGGCCTGTCTGATCGTACCTCTCGCCCCCTCGACCTGACATCTGTTTCTGCCGCAGTCCTTCCTTGTTTTCTTCGCTTTTCATTTTGCTTTCCTCCCCTCCTCCTCCTCCTCCTCCTTTTCTTCACATTCCAATTCAGACGCGTCGCGGAAAAGCATCCTGAAAGGCCCGGCACAATGCAGCAACATCCGACACCCGAGAAACTGGGTGTCGGAGTCTTCGATACAACCGGGTTCTAAAGCATAACCTCGCCGAGCTGCAGGGTCAGTTTCTGTTCATTAAGGCTGTAAGATCAGATCACATTCTTGGCAACATACAATTTCTTGCATTAGGAATTTGTCTTTTTCGCAGACCCCAGCTTGCTCTGCATGAGACACACAGACAGGGAGAGAAGCTTGGGGTCAGAGCGCAGGGTCGGCCATTTATACGGCACCCCTGGAGCAGTTGGGGTGAAGGGCCTTGCTCAGGGGCCCAACGGAGTAGGATTCCTCTGCCGGCCGCGGGATTTGAACCGGCAACCTCCCAGCCACAGGCGCAGATCCTGAGCCACAGAGCCAGCGCTCCGCCCCCCAAAAATAGGGAACGCTTAATGAAATGTGTGGTGTATTATAACATTTTTGCAGGAAGTTGGGAAGCCCTCCTTGGCTCGTTGGTCAGCAAATAAGGATCGGAGCGGAGTTTCCGGGGGCTGGATTTGAGGCGCTGTCTCTCCAAGAGCTCCGCCAGGTGCCGATTGGAGCATGAGCAGGGCTGCGCTCCGCGTGGAGCTGAGTTAGGTCATGGCGTCTCCTGGCGACATGTGTTCTTCTGAAATTTGCCTCCTGGGCTCGGCCAGCCCTGTCCGAGTTCTATCTGTGGCGTGGTTGAGGGGCTCTCGGTGTAAGCAGACCCCAGGTCCAGCTGCAGCTGAAGACAGGCCAGTCGTGAAGATGAATGTGGAGCCAGATGAGCCACCGTTAGGGCTAGGCAGGATGAGCGGTATTCCTAAGGCTGTTTACAGCTAGCCCTGCTTGAGTAATGTTAGCAGGTCCTCAGCCTGGGCGTGCGTCACTCAGTGTATTAATCTAATATTGTCTTTCTGATGTGTTGGGAAATGGGGCTTTCTTCTGAAGAGCTTTCACATAACAGAAGGCGGCACAGCAAAAGTCTTTCTGAAGGTACAGTCAAGAATTAAGCTGTGCACTTTTCTCGTTTGAATTCTGCAGCATTCACCATTGCTGTGACTGGGTTTGAAAGCTGTTTATAAAAAAGCTCGTTTATACCTCTGCTTCACAAACATGATTGCTGAATTATTTCCTCTGTGGTCTTGGCACCACTGATAAGCGCCCCCGTAAATGGAGCTAAGGAGAGATGTCTTTGTCAAATGTAGATTTTATTTTTTTAAATTCCTTATGACTTAACAAAAGGCAGACAGATCTTTTCAGATTCTCTCAGAAACTCGCTCCGAAGATGATCTGCCTTTAAAGCAAACTGAGGCAC